TTTTTATAAAAATATTGTAAATTAAACCATATTTTACTAAATACCACTTGGGTCAGAAAGATAACTAAATTTCCTTACTTAAAAAATCCCCTGGACAAAACAAGCACGGATGCTTTTATAATAAAACACATGATTATTTTATTTTCATTGCTGCATTTATAAGTAGTGGGGCCACATTTGATCATTTCTAGCTAATAATCTTAAAATATTTACAAGCCTTTAATTTAACGATGAACACAATCTTCATTTCTTTAAATCAATGTTTTTTTAAAATTTCCCCATTCTGTTTTGTAGATCAGCTTAAATCAAGACAAGCGAACTGACAGATGATGCTCATACTGGTTAAACATACTGGTTTAAATACAGCTTGGAATTTTAAAAAAAAACTTTTTGTGAGGAGCAAAAACGGGTTACCGTTGCGTCTCCTCAGGTGTTAACCAGGAATACAAACTTACTTTAAATGATTAAAACCTTTTAGATAAACATAAAGGATTAGTCCACAGATACAGCATAAACATTCTCAAATAGAAGTTCTTCACTGGTTTCCTTAGAAGCTGAAAAATGTTTACTAATGGATCCATTTTAAGTTTAAGAGTCTAAAAATGTTAAAAAGAAAATGTGTTTAGATGATCAGATTTAGGCTTGTCTGGAAAAAATAAACACTTAAACCAACTAAGATGAAACTCCCATGTTTAGAGTCTGCACATGTCCATTTACCTTCACTTCTCATCATCTGAGCCCAGCTAAGCAGCTCCCTCTGCTGGGTAAGCTTCAGAATTGCACCTGTTGTAACCCCTCTCCAGGCATAAAAAGCCTTTGCAGGTTCCACACTCTGAGAGCAACAAAAAAAAAAAAAAAAAGAGAGACATCACAAACTGTAACGATCATGACACATTTTGTAATTAGGGCAAAGATCAAACCTTCTGTTGAATGGATCGTTCCCTGGCCTGTTGCTCTGCAAGTCGAACCTCAGCCAGCAGCTCTGCTCTCTCCCTCCAAACTATCAGGGCTCTCCTGATGACATATAACTCCAAGTTATGAGGCTTCAACCCATTCACACGGTGAAACATGGTAGTGGAGGCATCATGCTTTGGGATACAGGGAGAGTCAAGCTGCTCAGTCTTAATGAGAAGATGGGTGTTTCTGAATAAATACAGGAAAATCCAGCCTCCAAGCTACTTTGTCAATATGTATTTCTACAGAGTCCTGCTTATTGTCCCAATTATTTTATTTTATTATGGACTGGAGCTTCAGATTCCTGGTTTAGATCAAAGCACATTCAT